CCATTTCTGATAGGTTTCCCTGTTTGCTGGCATACAAGTCCTTGTAGTAATTTCTGATGATTCTTTTTATTTCTGTGGTGTCTGTTGTTACATTTCCTTTTTCATCTCTGATTTTATTGATTTGGGTCTTTTCTCTTCTTTTTTTAGTTAGTTGGGCCAATGGGGTGTCAATTTTCTTTATTTTTTCAAAAACCAGCTCCTCGTCTGGCTGATTTTTTGTAATTTTTTTTGGATTCAATCCTGTTGATTTCTTTTCTGATTTTAATTATTTCTCTTCTCCTACTAGATTTGGGTCTGGTTTGCTGCAGATTTTCTAGATCCTTGAGATGCATTGAAAGCTCATCTATTTGGTGCCTTTCCAATTTCTTGATGTAGGCACCTATTGATATAAACTTTCCTCTTTACACTGCTTTTGCTGCATCCCATAAGTTTTGGTATGTTGTGCTGTTATCCTCATTTACTTCCAGAAATTTTTGGATTTCTCTTTTAATTTCTTCTATGACCCATTGTTGCTGGTGTCCCAAGCCATGGGCTCCCATGCTCTCCACACAGGTCCACTGTGAAATCACTAGTTCCGGAAGAGTTTCCTCTGCTGTTTCTTCCCCTTTTCTTCCTTGAACCTGCAGTATCTCCGCTTTTATTAAACTGTCTCTTCCCGGACTATCAGTGTGCTCCCTTCCTATTCCGCCATCTTGCCGCTCATATTATTTTTACATTTTCCTGTGTCTTTTGTCATTTGTATTTCATCATTTGAAAATGCCTATTCTTTGTCTGTTTCTTAAATTGATTGCTTTCTTGTCTTTTAATTTATTGAGATTTTTATAGATCCTAGATATTAATCCTTTATCAGTATCACTGTTGGCAAATATTTTCTCCCATTCTGTTGGTTGCCTCTTCACTTTGTTGAGTGTTTCCTTTGCTGTGCAGAAACTTCTTGGTTTTATGTATTCCCCACACTTGATCTTATCCAGAATTCTGAGAATCAATTTAATCCCATTTGCCTATTTTGCTTTTATAATTTGTTCATTCTCTCTCTTTTTTAAAGGTCTTGGTTATTTGTAAGGCACAATGTCAGAGAGAGAGAATCTGAAAGATATCTTCTATCAGCTGATCGACTCCCCAAGTGGTTGTAACAGTCTGGGTTGTTGGTGGACATAAATATAGAGTTTTATTGGATATATACCTAGGTATAGAACTGCACTCAAAGAAAATACACAAGCTGTTCACTTTTAGTGCCACACAGTTTTCATTTGTGGTTATACCAATTTGTACTTCTTGGCAGAATGAGAATTCCAGTTGTTCCACATAAGCATGATTTTGCCTTTTCTCATGAATCATTCTTTTAAGATGATGCTGATATGGAATTATAGTAATAATTAGCATTTGCCTGATCTCTACTTAAGCTGAGTACCTTTTCATTAGCTTACTGGTAACTTGGATTTTTTTATAGAAAAAAATGTGAAATTCTTTTATTTTTTTCTATTGGGTACTTGAATTTTGATAATTATTATTTATTATTTTTTTTTATTTAGTATATATAAATTTCTAAAGTACAGTTTATGGATTACAATGGCTCCCCCCAATAATTTCCCTCCCACTCGCCCCCCTCCCATCTCCCACTCCCTCTCCCATTCCATTCACATCAAGATTCATTTTCAATTCTCTTTATATACAGAAGATCGATTCAGTATATATTAAGTAAAGATTTCATCAGTTTGCACCCACTCAGAAACACAAAGTGTAAAATACTGTTTCAGTACTAGTTACAGCATTACTTCACATTGGACAACACATTAAGGACAGATCCCACAGGAAAAGTAAGTACACAGTGACTCCTGTTGTTGACTTAACAATTTGACACTCTTGTTTATGGTGTCAGTAATCTCCCTAGGCTCTAGTCATGAGTTGCCAAGGCTATGGAAGTCTTTTGGGTTCTCCAACTTCGATCTTATTCCAACATGGTCATAGTCAAAGTGGAAGTTCTCTCCTCCCTTCAGAGAAAGGTACCTCCTTCTTTGATGGCCCCATTCTTTCCACTGGGATCTCACTCGCAGAGATCTGAATATTGATAATTATTAATAATCAAACCTATTCCTTTATAATTAAATAAAAATATATGATTTGATAGACATAAGAGATTATTTGATTAGTAATAGTGAACTACTCTATTCCTTCATTAAAAATGACCAGAAACCACGAGTAGCTGATGTTTGTTTTAAAAACTACATTGCTTGGGGCTGGTGCCATGGTGTGGCAGGTGGGGCTACCGCCTGCAGTGCCAGCATCCCACATGGGTGCCAGATCGAGTCCCAGCTGCTCCACTTATGATCTAGGTCTCTGCTGTGGACTGGAAAAGTAGTAGAGGATGACCCAGGCCCTCGGGCCCCTGCACTCGCATGGGAGACCCAGAAGAAGCTCCTGGCTCCTGGCTTCAGATCAGCACAGTCCCAGGCATTGCGGCATCTGGGGTGAACCAGCAGATGGAGGACTTCTCTCTCTCCCTGTACCTCTGCCTCTCTGTGACCTTGTCTTTCAAATAAATAAATAAATCTTTAAAAAAACCTACACTGATCAGTATGTATTTATGCAAATATAAAATTAGCAAGAGAAAATCAAAATAGAATGTAGTGGAAATTTATTTAGAGTCTTAATTTCTATTTAAAAATATTTGTTTAGTGTTAATTAGTTTATGAATCATTTTTCTAGGCATCAGGAACAGAACAGTTCATAAATTCTTGATCATTCTATAAGCAGAACACTTAAGTCAATTTAATTACCAAAAGGACTAGTATTTTTATATAGACATCAAAGAAAAATCAACACATTCTCAAAACTGGTTCCTAGCAGCACTATAAAAAAAAAAAAAAAAAAAACAAACCCATGATCTTGAATTAAATGACCCAGTGCCTTGTACGGCGTGAAATTTCCTTTATTTTTACAGTGCTCAGTTTCTCTTACTACTAAGTAATTTGTTTGTGGGAGACACAGAGCAGAGATAAGATTAGGGAGGCATTGGCTTGAGGACTGCATTGATTTCCTATGAGCAAACTGCTTGTGATGGTTTGGGATGATGAATTATGTTCTGTTCAGAGAAGAAGGCCTCCTTCCCTGCGCTTTTTCCTGAAGTAGTTGATAATTCTCCAGTGTTTCAGAGTTTCGGCACTGATTATTGGATGCCTTTCAACCACATAAAACCTGTCTCTGGCTCTAAGCTCAAACCACATAGGAGAAAAGACAGCACATTCAGAGTGAAGGAAACACACAGGGGGTGAATTTAAGCACTTCTTTTCAGTGACACAATAAGGGCAAGGTTAGTCCCAGATTTTCTGAGTCATTAAAAGTAATGAGTCTTGCCATAGCAACAAGCTACTTTGAAGCTCCTATTTATAGGAGAAAAAAAGACTAGCAAAATGAAAAAAAAAGGATCCAAGCCCATTGTAATGCAGATTAGGTTAGAGGCTAGCTTGATATGACATAATTATAATTTATATTAATTTAGGACTGCTTTTATTACAACTCTGTAAACTATTTTCCTTCAGGAATAGACAAATTGAAAACTTCTCTGTTTATATCCTACAGTGTTTATCTTTAATTTTATGTACAATGGGTATTTTTATGGTCACTCTTGTAAAAACAATCTGAGATTTTATTCTATTTGCAATCAAATAAGATAGTTTGTCAGTCTTTTCGGTGCTGGCAGAAACTTAGACTTGAGACAGAGTTAAGAGCTTATTCTACACAGCCCAGGATGCAGCATGAGCATTACGGTCAGAGTGGTTTTCCTTGCAGCTCGAGTTCCAAAGATGTGAAATGGAATTGCACTTTGGTTGCTAGACATCCAAGGTGCTTGTGACACAGCTGAGGAGTCCCAACATCATGATCAAGAGGCATCAACCCTTTGAATTGTTTGGAGCTACTAGCAACTTGTACATTCTTGGCAGGCAGACAGAATCCTTATTATCTTGGACATCAAACAAATCTGTCCTCTTCCCCAAGACATTGTCTTCCCAGGATGTATGTGATATATGCATCTTTGAAATGGTATTCCAGATGAAATATGAATGTCTCTGCTCAGAGGATGTACAAATATTTGAGAGACACATGGAGAATTATCCCCTAATAATTTTTGTATATATATATTTATGTTACCATTTTATCATTTAAATATTTAAAATCATCTTTTTGGGGACTCTTCCGTCTTCCATCATGTTGTTGGGAACTGTTAGTTAGTTGGGGTTGTCAGTATACTTATTGCTTCTTTAAAAGAAATGTATTTTATCTATCTTTTTTTAACCCAGAAACCTTTTATTTAAGGTATACAAACTTCATGCATTTCATTCATACGACTTTAGGGACATAGTGATTCTTCCCACCGTACCCACCCTCCCACTCACACTCCTACCCTTCATCCTCCTCCCTCTCCTATTCCTATTCTTATTTTTTACTAAGATCTATTTTCAAATAACTTTATACACATAGTATTAACTCTATATTATGTAAAGAGTTCAACAGGGCCAACGCTGTGGCACAGCGGGTTAATGCCCTGGCCTGAAGAGCCAGCATCCCATATGGGCTCTGGTTCTAGTCCTGGCTGCTCTACTTCTGATCCAGCTCTCTGCTATGGCCTGGGAAAGCAGTAGAAAATGGCCCAAGTCCTTGGGCCTCTGCACCAACATGGGAGAACTGGAAAAAGCTCTCGGGTCCTGGCTTCAGATCAGCACAGTTCTGGCCATTGCAGCCAATTGGGGAGTGTACCATCAGATGGGAGACGTTTCTCTCTCTCTCTCTCTCTCTCTCTGCCTCTCCTCTCTCTGTGTAACTCTGACTCCCAAGTGAAAAATAAATAAATCTTTTAGAAAAAAAAGAGTTCAACAAACAGCATAAAAAAAAAAAACCTGATTCTCAATATGCAAAATTTCTTTTGGTTTCCAGCAGTATCTCTGTGATGAGATTAGTTGTGCATTTCTTCATGTTTATCTCACAAATGGTTTTTAGGGTCACGTTGAGCCAGCGCCCGGGCCTGGAATCGGGGCCGCCAGCCGCCGCCCGCCGACCATGGATCCCCGCAAAGTGAACGAGCTCCGGGCCTTCGTGAAGTTATGTAAGCAGGACCCGAGCGTCCTGCACACGGAGGAGATGCGCTTCCTGAGAGAGTGGGTGGAGAGCATGGGGGGTAAAGTACCACCTGCTACCCATAAAGCTAAATCAGAAGAAAATATCAAGGAAGAAAAAACAGATAGTAAGAAGGCGGAGGAGACCATACAGACAGACGAGCCGTCAAGTGAGGAAAGTGATCTAGAAATTGACAATGAAGGTGTAATTGAACCAGACACTGATGCGCCTCAGGAAATGGGAGATGAAAACGTAGAGATAACTGAGGAGATGATGGACCAGGCAAATGAGAAGAAAGGGGCTGCCATTGAAGCCCTAAATGATGGTGAACTGCAGAAAGCCATAGACCTGTTCACAGATGCCATCAAGCTAAATCCTCGCTTGGCCATTCTGTACGCCAAGAGAGCAAGTGTCTTCGTCAAATTACAGAAGCCAAATGCTGCCATCCGAGACTGTGACAGAGCCATTGACATAAATCCTGATTCAGCTCAGCCTTACAAGTGGCGAGGGAAAGCACACAGACTTCTGGGCCACTGGGAAGAAGCCGCCCATGATCTGGCCCTTGCCTGCAAACTGGATTATGATGAAGATGCCAGTGCAGTGCTGAAGGAAGTTCAACCCAGGGCCCAGAAAATTGCAGAACATCGGAGAAAGTATGAGCGAAAACGTGAAGAACGAGAGATCAAAGAAAGAATGGAAAGAGTCAAGAAGGCTCGAGAAGAGCATGAGCGCGCCCAGAGGGAGGAAGAAGCCAGACGACAATCAGGAGCTCAGTATGGCTCTTTTCCAGGTGGCTTTCCTGGGGGGATGCCTGGAAATTTTCCTGGAGGAATGCCTGGAATGGGAGGGGCCATGCCTGGAATGGCAGGAATGCCTGGCCTCAATGAAATCCTTAGTGATCCAGAGGTTCTTGCAGCCATGCAGGATCCAGAAGTTATGGTGGCTTTCCAGGATGTGGCCCAGAACCCTGCAAACATGTCGAAATACCAGAGTAACCCCAAGGTTATGAATCTTATCAGTAAATTGTCAGCCAAATTTGGAGGTCAAGCATAATGCCCTTCTGACAAAGCCCTTGCTGAAGGAAAAGCAGCCCAGATCACCTAATGGATGTCGCAATAATACAAACCAGTGTACCTCTGACCTTCTCATCAGAGAGCTGGGGTGCTTCGAAGATAATCCCTACCCCTCTGCACCAAATGCAGCTGAAGCATTTGACAGTGGTTTGTCATTAGGGTATTCATTCAGATAATGTTTTCCTACTAGGAATTACAAACTTTAAACTTTTTAAACCTTAAAAATGTTTAAAACAAATTAAAAAGGGTGTTAATTCCTCCATTTTTCTTTGCTAATCATTTTGAGTTTTTTTCCTTTGAATAATTGGGCGAGGAAGATACATAAGTACAGAAGATTTATTGCTCTAGTGTGAGTGAAATAAAGGTTAGTAGTTGGCAGCATATATAACTCATTTAAATAGATGAAGGTTTAGTTGGATATATGGTTACTGAGGCATTTTGATTTGTCCTTAAATGCTTTATTTTTCAAAAATAAAGTGATTTATTTCAATAAAACTTGGGACCACCAGTATTTCTGTAGGACCTGGGTAGGGACTGGAAGCACTTGGCAGGGCAGTGGCAGTCTTACCATGTTTTATATGACACGCACCCTTGAGCAGATTACACTGAAATCTCACACTCTGGTGAGGGGATGATTCTTTTGTAATGCTGCAGTAGTGTTGGATTACTTAGCTCTGTTCTTGTCCAATATATCAAATAAATGCTTCATATTATTTCCACAGATAAAATACAGGAGTACTTTTCTTGTTATATTTCTGTGTTTAAGATTACCTTTCCTGATCAAAAACTTCTAAACTCTGTGTCCATTTTCTGTTTGTCATATTTTTCCTCATAATCTTCTTGAGCTCAAGATTTTTCACTAGCAGCCTCACAACTGTCATTATTCACATTGTGCTTGTGCAGGCATATTTATGCTGGGTTCAATGTGATATGTAGTATATACAGTGGTTGTAGAGTAATGCCCTTAACAGCTGTGATTTCATACTTGGCACGAGATCACCTGGTGAACTGCTTTCTGGCAAAAGGTTTTATCTGGAGACATTAGAAGAAGGGACTCCCTTGAGTATTTAGTCCTCTGCTTAATTACCTGTTACAGTTTGAGTTCATCTTGTGGTATTCACCTCCATGTTTCGAATAATGTTAAGGTTTGAGTTACTTGCTATGAGGGGAGCTGATCTCTTGACCCATCATCGAGTTGTAACACAATTGAGAGCCAGAGTTAATCATGACTTATTTCCTGAGGAGCCATTATCTTCCTATGCAAGCTTTTCCTTAAACAACGCAGCCACAGTGCCACCTCTGCTTTCTCTCCTTCCTTCTGCAAAGATAAAATGAGAATAAATTCCATGGAGTACGTTTCTGAAATGGTACTCTTCTGAAATCATAAGTCTTTTCAGGTTGTTACTAAGAAAAAGTTGTGTGCTAATAGAGCATGTTTTTTATAAATCTCTTAAAAACACTAA